GGTACCTGTTTGATAGATAAGACTTCAATAATTTAATCAAATTTCTACCTACTGGTTCTTCTAGAGGATACCGTGGTCAGATCGGTCGAACGCTTTATTGAAGTCCGTGGAAACGGTCTTCATATTACTCGCTTTGCCCTGACTTTTGTAGGCTGTCTGTAAAAAAGTTATTAGCTGTAAAAAAAAGTTAATAGCTGTGGATTTATTTTTCCGAAACCCAAGTTGTGAACTATGAAACATAGGTGTTAGATGTTCATATAATTTGTTCAGTCTGGAAAATGCCTAGTTTGAATAATTTTTAAAAAATTCGATAGATAAAATGAGATAGAGATGCTTGTGTTTTAATGAACAGTACTGGCGCAAAAGTGTCCGGGCCTTCACTTTCATTCGTGTTCAACGATTGACATATTTCTTGTATCCGAACTCAGTAAAATTAATTGTATGAAGGACTGTAATGGAATCAGGATCGGGTAGTTCTCAAAACGTACACGATTCATTGTACACAGAAGCGAAAAACTTCGAAAAAAAATCTGCCTTCAATTGATCGGTATCGGCGGTCTCATTTTTGTGTTTCAGTATTCTTGGTAAGCTTGACTTATGAAAAGCTCCAAAGTATTAAAAAAACTTTTCCCGTTGATCGCTCTGACGCAAGAGACTGCTCATAATCGGCTTTTTTTTTTCATTTCGGCGTTCGTTTCTGTCTGCTCAATTAAGTGCAAAACTTTTGGATGAGACTAGGTATATTCCTTTCGAGCTGTAACTAAACGTTTAATAAGATTCGAAGTCGATTGACTTATCCATGGCGGCAAGGATGATCTATGTTTTAAATTTCAAACATTTTCGCAACTATGTGCATCGTCAGGATTTTTTACTATAAAGTAATCTAAATGACAATAAAACATCAATTTACAAATGTTATTTACAATAATTCACATATAACTTGGTTCTAAACCATCATGTTAAAAAATTAGCCAATCCCAGTTGACCTCTAAATTACTAATAAGTTTAAAATACTTTCAACCTCTAAAATTAATTATACATTTTAAACTAATTTGTCTGGAAGTTTCTGAGTCATAATTTCGATTTAGACGTGTGCGTTTTAAACAAAAAACCAAGAATATTTTGGGACTAAATTTTCAGTGTTAACTCCCTGCTCCTAAACTCTTCGCGCGTGTTCAAGCCCTGTTTCTCTTTCCTGATATGTATTGCCTCGAATGTTAACAATTTTGTTTGGTTGTTTGACCTATCTATAATTTCCCATCTAAGATCTGCTCTATTTCCCTCAAGTTGGCATTGCTGAAGGTGGAGGCCTACCGGTGAGTCTGCTTTCTTGTGTTCCTCAATTCTTGTGGTCAAACAGCGGTTATGGCTTCAGAAAACTGAGGTCATTGCTAGACAGAAAACAGAGGGCATTGCTAGTCAAAAACAGAGCTTTTTGCTAGAAAACTCTCTTGTTTTGGTATTTTTAAGACTTATTCTTGACGGAAACTTTCGAAACCAAAGAAATACTAGCATTCCAGCTTAATCATGAAATCATTCGTTTTGAAAATAATTTAAAATACTAAACGCAAAAGTCGTAGCAATAATAATTGCTGGTCAAATTACCCCTCAAAAAATTGGTGCAACATGTCATCAATTAAAGAAACTGAAAAATCATTTTTGGAAGAAAAAGAGAATCTTGAAGTTTATCAAAATGTTAAGTTTAAGACTGCCTCAACTTGTACTCTCAATTTGCTCTTCACCAGCAATAAAATCCAGGTAACAGATGTTCATACCCTAGACAGTAATAGTACATTAGGAAACTTTCAAACCATTATCCGGTCGAAATCGCTATCAGCGTAGGGTTATCGAATCTTATGCGTAGTAAGTTTAGTAAAGAATCCATATTTAGTTATCGCAACGGTGATCACGATTTACTCACTGAGCGTATACTAGAAAATCATTTTGACTCTTACTGTTGGTGAAAAGTAAATGTGATACTAAATCATTGGTATAGTTGGTTATCCTCGCTAAAAAAGTATTCCAAAGCGGACTAAACATAGATCTTACGTATCGATAAATAAAAACACTTTAAAAATTCCCTATACATTGATGAAAATCATTAAAATCTTTTATACTGGCCCTTTAATGGGAAAACAGTTGGAATTTTGAGCTCTTTGCTTTTTGGTTTATCACGAATTAACAAGTAAAGTTGAAGAAAGTTTTGCTAAAAAGTAAATTTCAATTGTTTTCGCAACTATGTGCATCGTCAGGATTTATTACATTAAATTAATCTAAATGACGTTAAAACATCAATTTATAAATGTTATTTACAATAATTTACATACAATTTGGTTCTAAACCATCATGTTAAAAAATTATCCAATCCCAGCTGACCTCTAAATTACTAATAAGTTTAAAATACTTTTAACCTCTAAAATTAATTATACATTTTAAAATAATTTGTCTGGAAGTTTCTGAGTCATAATTTCAATTTAGACGTGTGCGTTTTAAACAAAAAACCAAGAATATTTTGGGACTAAATTTTCAGTGTTAACTCCCTGCTCCTAAACTCTTTGCGCGTGAAACAACATGGGTTTCGGAAAAATAAATCCACAGCTATTAACTTTTTTTTACAGCTAATAACTTTATTACAGACGCCTACAAAAGTCAGGGCAAAGCGAGTGATATGAAGACCGTTTCCACGGACTTCAATAAAGCGTTCGACCGATCTGACCACGGTATCCTCTAGATGAAGCAGTAGGTAGACATTTGATTAAATTATTGAAGTTTTATCTATCAAACATGTCCCAATCTGTCAGAGTGAACAGCGAAATCTAAGATCCAAAGCCCATAACAAGCGGAGTGCCCCAAGGCAGCATCCTCGGGCAATTGTTTTTCCTAATTTTTATTAATGACAGGCGGAAGAATAAATCCACAGTTATTAACGTTTTGTACAGCTAATAACTTTTTTACAGACAGCGTACAACAGTCAGGGCAAAGCGAGTGATATGAAGACCGTTTAAACGGACTTTAGTAAAGCGTTCGACCGTGCTGATCACGGTATCCTCTAGATGAAGCAGTACGTAGAAATTTGATTAAATTATTGAAGTCTTAAAAACTGAAAATTATTTGCAGACCAATCCGATAGTCAACAAAGTAGTTTGCGGAAAATTGTATTCCGGGAAATCTGAGAGTAAAATGTCCCGAATACGGCAACAGTACTGGATTATGACTGGCTTTGGACTAAGAAGTTGCATGCACGAACATATCTGGCCGGGAAAAAAGCGA